TCTCTCTCTCTCTCTCTCTACATCGTGACTCATTCTTTCTCTCCTCCAACTGGTCCATCCATCTCTATCTCCGGTCCACCTGCTATATCTGCACTGTGATCCTGTCGTAGGCCCTGGTACAGTATCTTTTTTTATAACACCAAACAAACACGTACTGTAAACACGAAAACGCTGCCCGGCCTTCGAGATGCTTTCCTGAACTGAAATATTGATTTCAGAGCACTTTTCTCCTCACCCTTTTCTCTTACACGCAAACATGTCTGAACAGGGCTGTGCATGGAAGTAGTGGTTATTATTTTCCTTATTATTATCAAATCATTCATTTAAACTAGTGAAGGACTTTTTGCATCTTAATTGACTTTAAAATTGTGTTTTACTGCTACTTCCATTTATCTACCTCACAGTGTCTCTTATTAGCTTCAAATATGGATGTATCATACATTTTCTTTCTATGGAACCACTGCGGCTACTTAAAGGGGAAATCCAGCAATTTACTATTGTGCTTTCATAAAGTTTGGCACTCACAAGGGACAGGTTAAAAAAACGGATGGTCAAAATTGAAGCAGCTAAGGCTAAGACATACTGGCTTTTTGTTCCTAGTATGGGTCAAAATGTTGAATCCTACATTACCAATAATGCGACTCAACAGCGTCTTTTCTCTAGATTGCCCTGCTCCTCTAGAGCCATGGAGGACATTATACAACTGTGTACAACTAGTACACACTAGTGTCTCGATTGTTAAGTGTTGTTATCGGCTAAAAGGTAAAATCCACAAGCCTCTGCTACATGACATTTATTTAACTTTTAATGTACTCCAACTACACCTTACATTTGCATTCCAAGCTGCAACATAGCCCTGCAGATATATATATATAGCTGGACATGGAATTCAACCATTTTCATGCACTTCAAATTTGTATTAAGTGATGTATTTAAGCTGATAACAATGCAAGAAATAAAGGATCGCAAAATGCATTTTATAAGGATTCTGATGGTGTCAAATACAATGTAACTTCATTATCATGGACTCTTCTCCTTTGTCATTTGTATGCAATAAAACAAATATAATCAACATCATCTTATATGTTGTAACAGTTTGGCATTAAATGTGTTTGTCTCAAACAATGACAGCATATAACGCCCTAGGTTTCTGGGAGGCTGACCAACACCTTCAGGTTTAAATTTAGCACTACAACTCCAATTTACAGAAAATATCACAGGTGCATTACTTTGGTGTGAAGAGGAACAATAGTTTAGTAGTTCAGGAAAGAGGGCTTTGAGGCCCCAGCGTCGATTTCAATCCAACCAGTAATGTTATGAACGTGTTGTGAAGAAATATATCTGCATAATAGTGTAATGCAGCCCAGTGAGCCACAACTTGGAAAGCAATGGCAAACCACGGGGGTCAAAAACTGAAAGAGCAACAACAGGACGTGGTTGTGGAGACAAGCTCGACAACCACCAGAGGCTACGGTAACAATCCTAATTGCTGATAGTGTAGTGTTCTCCTCTTTATCTCCTTTCCATTCAAATAGGCGGCTCTCAATGTCCTTCTAACGTCCCCTGCGCTTCGAGACACAGCACTCAGCCAAACTCATGACTAATCATCCTCCATCAGAGGGTAACAGATACTGTAGAGGAGAGGCTGGAAGAAATACTGATGAGCAACAGATGGAGTGGAGGGAATAAGCCTTATGAGGACAGACGCGTGTTTATCAGTGGGGGACAGAGAGGAAGAATCAGGGGCCGGCTCATCATAAAGCAGACAGCAGTGCGTCTGATTTCCCTCAACCCAGCTGGCTGAAGACCAAATGCCAGAGACGCCTGGCAGAGGATAAAGAGACAACTGGACCACACACACTCACACACACTCACACACAGGTATCCACGTCAATTAAAAGACAAAGACTTCCGACTAGACACACAAACACACTAACACAATACAGATGGCTGTCCAGTGGCACACAACAAAGCTTTTTATAGCTTCAACAGTTGAGATAAGGAGTTCTTCTAAACGCCCAACTTGAAAAAACCCATTATTCAAATACATTACCCCACCGCCACAAATGTTCCTAACTCGCATTGTGACAGACTGACAGGCATTCTATTGAGTGGTAATTATCACACTCAAAATCTACCTGACTGTACGTTTTCCCAGCAACAAAGAAGCGCTCATCTGCAATACTGCATGAACCCTGAGCAGTTTCAGCCCGTTTCTTCTCCTGACACATTCCTACTCACTGTGGGATGGTTTTTCACTGTAATATACAAGTCCTGCACCTCTATGGAAACAGCACAATCATGGACACAAGTAGGGAGTACTCGATAATGTCTTTAGTGTAGTATAACATAGTTATGACATTTTTCCCAAGTGCCCAGAAGTGTTACCAATGTTGGAATTCCTGCCCTGCCATATGACTGTCTGTCTCACCTGAGTCAGAAATGTGAAATTCTGGTGATCATTTCTGTTTCTGCAGTTTCTAGCTATGATAAATGGTCTTTTGATTTCATAAAGAAGACAAGAATTTTAGCAAATATCTGACTGACCAAGTTTATAGCATTAAGGATTAATGGAACTGGAGGACATTCTTCCAGTGCCGTCTTATCGATGGCTACATTATCATGTTATTATAGTTATCCATGTGTAATCCATGTGATCTGGAACAAGTGCACAAGAAGGTGTATGATGTGTATGGGATTAAATGTTTGTGTGTGGTTCCATGTGAGTCTGTACAGTCATGCAATAACACAAAGCTACATTCTTTATCTTTAAATGGAAACTAAGTACTACCAGATGTTGATGTGCTCACTCCTGATACGTCTTTGCATCCTCGTAGCTCATTCCTTATATGAAATGGATTCAGCCTAGAGGAAAATATCAACTTATAGAAGTGTATATACAAAATATATAGAGGATCTTAGAGTTGACATAGAATGATTGTGATAATACAAAATACAAAAGGTTATTATCACAGGTCAGCATACAAAAACCACCTACCAGTGGCCATTCAAAAACTGTGCTAACACAGTAGAAGTTAAGTTTGAAGCCCAGTTCAGACCAAAGATTCGCAACAAGCAATGTTGTCTCCCTTGTACCAACTCTCTGTTCTAGCTGCTGGCTTTTCAGGCTTTCTTAACATAACATTTGTAGCATCGTAAAATAAAAAATGAGGATAGTGAGTTACCTGCTACAGTTGCGTTTTATTGGTGACACTATAAAAACTGTAAATAAAATGAATTTCGACCAGCTGACTTCACAATGAGCCAATTGGCTGTTGAAACACGTTACATGATTTGTGTTCTAAAACCAGCCACTGGAGATTTGTCAAGTT